AAAGTCCCAAAATTTCTAATGACTGCCCTGCATGCACAACGTATGCATGGGGAGAGGGGCAGAAAAAGAGCCAGATAGCGACAGTCTGTTCCCCGCGACATCACCAAGCAGGATTGTGGCATGGGACAGGACTTAGTGATTGGCGAGGGACCATTGGACTTGTAAGGATGTGATTACAGCATAGGAAGGACGCCAAAGGTACACAGTGGGATTTATTTAGGAGGGTGAAGCTCCTCTTCAGCTGAATGGGAAGGCATATAAATCCCACGACTCCCCTGGAAACCATATGGCAAAGATGTTGACAGACACAACCTACTGGTATCCCTAATTCGTACAGCGCCATACCTTCTGTCACACTTCTGTCTCCAACCCGTGCGTGCTACTAACACACCATCCGCACACATCACTTCCGCTCAGTCAACGTCACCAAGGCAACTTAAAAGCCCCGTCCACCCACCAACCAAAGTCGCACATAGAGCGCATGCGTACTCCGCCACTCACGCGTTCTGTCACAACGCTCACACTGCGCAGGCGCTCTACAGTGTAACCTTGGCTTGCTCACTCATGCGCAGCAGTTTATTGAGCCTGAACTGTGTAAACAGAGGCGAATGCTTTGACAGCGCATATCTGTCGTGCTAAGATGACCTATTTACTGACATAGGTGCCTTATTTGAAGATTCTTTAGAAATAAATGAAAAAAACGATACGTTAGTGATTACAGATTCTTAGCATAAACCCCTGTAATATTCCGCTCATCAAGTGGCCATTGTAGCATTCCTTTAATATTTGTGTTAATTCCATTTATTATGATTAAAGAAGCAGCTATTTCGGGTCAGCAGGTGCTCTTCGAGCACGGAGGGGTTAACAAGCCTGTGCTTAGCATAGGTAATCTCAGCCTGGTCTATTAATATTCAGACTGTGGCTTTAAAGGGACAGCCTATTACAAAACCACTCCTTCCTCTGTCAGAGACGTCAGCCTGGAGCGGTGTGCTGGAGAATTTAGATCCAAAATACAAGGAAGATTTGTACCGTGGTAGAAGGAACCCTATAGCTGGGTCCCCAAGGTGAGGACGACTGACATATGCATCATACTGATCTGTATGTACTGACAGGAGACTGTGTATATGTGATTGGGGGAAATGGTGGGGGCACAAGGGAAGAAATGCCCTGTGCAAGGAATAGACTACAATTCATGATGGCTCGTGTTCACACGTATTGATTAAATATCTGGAAATATGACATTGGATCAATCATGCATCTCAATTTGTACACATGAGCTAGCAATCTAAACAGTGTTTATTATATTGCAGCCTGCTGTTCACAGGAACATGTATGACATGTATGCTAATTATTTTGTGATCTCTCATTATTGTGCTTATTATCTTCTGATCTCTAGTCATTGTTTTTAAATATTTTCTGATCTCTATTAATTGTGCTAACTATATTCTGACCTCCTAAGTATCGTGCTAATTATTTTCTGATCTCTAATCTAAACCGATGGAATTTCTTGGCCGCAGAATATAAATCTTCTTTGGTGATAAATCACAGCGTTAAAAAGCAAAATACGATCTGTGTATGCCTAGTGGAAGGACTGCAGGCATCGATCATTGCACTGTGTCATGTTTATCCTGCACTTCTTAGGCTGACTGTTTGTTTATCTGCTTGCTTAATATGGGAAGATTTCTGTGTGTGTCACATTCCCAGCAGATCACCTGATTTCAGTAGTATTTCTTATTTTCGACCTGCCTTGTGTTTGCCATGAAAATAGAATTTACACAACTCCTAAACACCACGTAGCTGCTTGGGGTGTATTTTTGGTTTGCTGTAGTTGCAGAATGCACCTGCTTCTAAAATGAGACACAAAGAAATCCAGACGTTGGTACGGCAAGGCGTTAAAAATAATCTGCAGAAAATCCTTTTGCAACAAGACCCCCAGGGGCTAGCCTAATAAGCAAAGCAGGCCAGGCAGCCTTTTGCAGAAGCTGCTGATAACACTACTTATTAAATGGCTGGCGTTGGCTGTGCGAAAGATCTTTTCTCCAGAGCTGAGCACTGATAACGCTATGTTCTACACCGTAAACAGGAAGGTGGGAGAACATTGACATCCCTTAAATCTAAGCTCAGGCTAAAAGCTAGAACGGTAAATGGGCATATAGATGGCAATCCATAGTCATTGGGGTTGGCAGTTAGCTAGGGCGGGTAGGTAATCTGAGATAAACTCTTATCGAATGTTGGAGAAAAAAATCCTGCAATCAGTTGACATGCACAACCCCTCTATAGAAAATAAAGCGTCTTTCCAGATTCCATCCCTGTTTACCAGCTGCCATTCAATGATATGTACATCTGCATGGAGAGAAATAGTGTACTGTTGTGCAGATAATTTATTGTGTAATCAGAAACTGACAATACTGTGATGACACCTTCAGAAAAGGAAACACGCATGCAGCATACAGTCTTAAATGGGAGGTTCCATTGCAGTGTGTAAAGCAGAGATCCTTAGAAGTGTATAGCATACTGGTTATCAAAATGAAAAGCAGATCATCCTTATTACTGTATTATAAGGCATTTCATATATATCTGGGGAATCCCCCGCCCCCCCCCCCACC